TAGAAAAATAGACACATACTTTTGAAATCAGATACTCGATTACGACTTGATAGGTTGAATCAGTTGTTAGCGGATATAAATTTCTTTGTAAATCACGAATATAAAATTAGTAAAAATTTTCATTTAAAAAAAAGAAATGTACTGTATTAGTTTACACATCACTGTCAATTAGGAGGAAATGTATATATCTTTTTGTTCAAAAAAGTTCCTGATTTATTTGTTCACAATTAAGTTCATGATTTGTTTCTTCAAAAAAAAGTTTGGGATTTATTTGTTTAAAAAAAGGTTCAATAACTTATTTCGTAAAATGATTTAGGAAATAAATTAGGGATTTATTTGTTAAAAAGATAGGCACTTAATCATTCAAAATCAGATAGGTTGTTTGGTTTTTTAGACTTTTCCCAAATTTTTATCACATTAACATGTTTATAAGGATGTATTTTAACCATTTTTAAAAAGTTCAAGGTGTTGTTTGTTTTTTAAGAGGTGCTGAAGTCTGATTTCACTTCTGATTTTTAAGAGGTGGTGTTGAATTTTGAAATCTGAATCAGTCAGACTGTTTGTTTTTGTAAACTGACAAACGTCTGAAGTCTGAATCAATAGTTTGCTTTTGTAACCAACAAAACATATGAATATGTATAATTTTTTATTTCGCTTATGTTTATGTTCCCTAGATTGCTTTAATTCTTTATTTTCCTCCAGATCAAGCCTTCCATCCTCAGTCTCCACCCTCATCCCACCACCATCCACCACCACTCCTTCTCTAAAATCCAACGCCTAAATCCACCTCTAAAATCGAAACAATCTCCATCATGACGAAAATTACAGCGACGAAAATACCTTGATTCACGAGGATAAAGGTGCACAACTACTGGTTTGCACAGGAACGAAAACACACAGTGGTGAAAACCCACAGGGAAGAAAATCCTCTTGATTTGGATCTGATTTGGGTCGATTTGAAGCCACCAGAGGCGATGGAGGGTGAAGTCGATCAATTGAGACGGTGAGAAGGGTGAAGTCGATCGAATGATGAAGTAGAAATCGGTTCTCTGGATGGTCTCCAGAATTAAGAGGAAAATAAGTGGCTAGGTTATCACTTAATTTTTTAGAGGAAAATAAGTGATAAGTGGCTCTGAAGAAAAGAAAAAAAAAGGGTCTGAATTACGTTATGTCTGACCGAATCAGACATAAGTGGTAAAATAAGAGTTTTTTAAAAAAACAAACACCACCTAAGGGTTTTATATTAAAAAAAATAGTTTAAGAACTTAATCTTTCAAAATCAAATAGTTCGTTAGGTTTTTCTTTGACTTTCTCCTTGTAAAAACATACAAACTTGGTCCATTAAACGAGGGGCATTTTCATCATTTTATCAAAACCAGTTTTATTATTTTGGTCCCTATTGTTTTTTATTAGGTAGAAGACAAAAAAAAAATCAATAAAAACACCAAAATACCCCTCATTTGTTGGATTTTTTAATTTTTAACTGTCATTAGAGGGAGGATCAAATCGAAACATGTTCGCAAACCACAACGGACGTCTTGTAAATTTCGAAACAGTAGGGATGAAAAGTGTGATTTTCGATAAACCACGTGTAATATTCAGATTCTCATTAAGTTTTCAAGTCAGTAGTTCATCTACATTTTTCATCCTTAGAGTGTTTAAATTTGAGTCCTCTTGTGTAATTATTGGATGGGAGGTTGTTGGTGCTTCAAAAACTCAAATAAAATGCATTGCGGAAAAGAAAAGAGTAGGTTGTGCGGATGCCATGCGGCTAAGCCCACAACAAAGTCCCACTTGCCACTGTTTGAGCCCGGTATGAAGACCGCAGACGACCATGGTGCGAGTAAACCTGCAGTGAAGTCGCATTAAGCACCGTTTGTGCACAATTTGAAGAATGTGGGCGACTATGGCGCGACTAAACCCGCGACGAAGTCGCTGAAATAGCTGCAGGCCACTAAAACTCGAGTTTCTTAAGCTTCGTCCTCATTTACTCCCTTCTACCCTCTCTCACTTCATTTAAACCACAAAGGGAACCCCGATTTTGGAAAGAGTATTTTATACTCTATTTTATTCATGGTCCGCCAATCATGCAACTACAAGTCAAAATTTTATTTAATTCTTCTATTTATTATTTCTCTTCAATAAAATGTTGATGTGTCGACACATGATTGGTGGACATGTATAAAATAGGAAGGTTTGGGACAGTTGATTTTTTCTCTGTGCCAAGAATCGCCAAATCGGCTAAAAAGAGTAAAAGTCTAAAACATATTAAATTGGTCTAAAACATGTACAACTGGAATAAACGTTAAAACATATATAATTGGACAAACGCTAAAACGCGTATAATTATGCCCCAAAAAATTTGGGCCCCTATTCCATATCTCCCATTAGAACACCTTTCGATACGATACGATACGACACGACTAGTTATGTTGACATCAAAATCTCAAGAGATACACCCTAACAAATCGAAATATTAACGTTAAAAGGCCAAATGTAAGAAACATTTGGCCTTTTAACATGACAAATATGATGAAACTAGACTCTAAACGTATTTAATGTCATTTCTTAATAGTTACATAATATTATCATATATGAAAACGTTGTACGAGGCTTTCGATGGGTCGTATATGATGATTTGTTTTTATATATTATCCACCACGACAATTCTTCCATCTTCCAAAATACAAATAGTCTGAAGCTCGTTGGACACATTCCAAAAAAGGTTTAACTTGAACAAATATTGTTTCGACCACACACCTTGTTCCTTCATCACCCACACATCTGATCCATTAAGCCACCTGCTAAACTGCTAACCATGTAAAGACATCAGTGTCACGTACCCAAAATAGACGATATGTAATTATCGTGACTGCTAATTTGACGGGACCCATCCATTTGTGAAATTACCATCTCCGTCACATTTTTGACTTTCCAAAATTCTATCTTTCCATCGTTGTTATCAAAAGCCAAAAGCTTATACAAAACTGTCAAGATATTGATTTTATAAAACATGTCTTACTCTAAACCAAAATATTTGAATTCATCTGTATTTCATAAAATTTATTTTTATAAAATCTATAAGACTTGTGTTCATTTTAATATTCTTACCCACTACAAAATACTTATCACTTAACCAAAGGACCTTTGGCCTAGCGGTATTGTAATCTTTGTCCTTCTAGCAAATCAGGATTCAAACCTCACCGAAAGTGATAAGGGTGTGTGAGTTTATTTGTTACATTTGTCGTATATAAATATTATATACTTCAAAAACGTATTTATCACTTACATTCTATATTGACATTTCAATTCGAGTTGAAGTTTGAATAACTATTCATCTGGAATTGTATTTTCTTGACGATCTTCATGACACACATTCGAATAATTTTTTTTTTCTAAATTAAAGAGTTACGTGCTATTCAAGTTGATATGTGATTTCTTGACTTTTGCATACTTGAGTGTTTTTCACTTATGATATGATCTTTGAAATTTTCACACCAATGTTTTATGCTCTTTATGTTTGACCTAATTTGATCATGACTTGAATATTACTTAATTATAAATATTTTATAATACATCAGGTATTAAAATATCAGTTTATAAAAGGGAAAAGTCTAAAAAAACTTGTTGCACTTTTCAGTTTTGAGAGAATAAGTTCTTGGACAATTTTTTTGAACAAATAAATCATTAGACTTTTTAAAACCGGTTAAATAAATCTTTTTTAACCTATAAAACCGGTAAACTAAAGGGTAGTTTAGTCTTTTTAACATTTTATTTAGTTTTCTATAAAAAATAATTGAACATAAAACACTAAAACCAACATCTCTTCCTATAACCTACAATCAAACTAACAACATCTTCAACGACTAGTCTTTGTGGTCTTTTCCATCCTAAAACTGCGCTCTTTATCCTCTTTTGCTCACCGATGAACCCCATCCCCTTCCCTATTCTCCTGTGAACAGCCCCTCTGATGAACATAATATAGAGAGAGGACGGTGGCATCTCAAACAAAAGCAAGATATCAGACGATCACAATGAAAAAAGAACAAGTAGGATATATCTATACTATATTATAAAACATTTGACAAAAACTCTTAAAAACCATTTTTTATGCAAAAAATATTGTTTATTGATGTATATTACTTAGAATTCAAGATCACAAGTAAATTGTGTGTAAATACAACTTATTAAAGCTTCATTTTTGAATTTGTGTAACTAACTATAGATAAACATAATCAAATACTTGATAAATATCTCATTTTGAATATAAAATATAATTAGGATAATCATTAGTTATAACAAAATACTTAATTATTATCTTTATAAAAATTATATTATTAAACAAGAAATAAATCATTTCGTTATTAAATCTAAATTAAATTATAAAAAATATTGAATTAAAATAATTACACAAAAAACCAGAGCTTTAAATAGTAAATTTGATATTAATATCAAAAAAAAATTTCCAAATTTTTATGATATATTTAAATTTATATTTTATTCAAAAATAAAAACAGTATCGCTTTCTTAAAACCACTAAAAACCGTATTATATCGACGTAAATAAATAATAAAACATAACATTAAAATTGAGATATATCTCGCTATATTATGCAAACATCCTTCTAGTTTAAAATAACAAGGATGTATTTAACATTGTTTGAATTATCCAAGGATATATTTATTTAAAAAAATTGTCCAATGACTCAATCACTCAAAATATGTAAATCCATTGGGTATTCTGGTTTTTTCCCTTTATAAAATGATTTATATCTTTGTTAATCATCAAAACAAATGAGACTCTCAAATGTATGTAGTTTGTCAAAATAATTATGTTCATTTTTACTGAAGCAAAAAACGATTTAACGCGTTTTGTTTAAAAGATGGACAGATGGTAACAATTTATAAGTAACATGTATGAACTCGTTGAATTATATTATAACCTATAATATGGGATAGTTGCACAAAAAATACAAAAACAGTGATTAAACAAATAAAATTTATAATGTGACGATCAAAATCAATTATTTCGATCTAAGTAATATCAACTGAACTAAATCATTGCTTGTGAGTTGAGTCTTATTACTGATAAAATGTATATTTTGACTACTAAAAAGAATATGAATGTTGTTTGTATGAGAAATAAACCACAACCATTTTCTTGAATGATCGATTGCACTAGTGACCTGCACCCGGACTTGGACCTGAGTTCTTAAGTTCTCCAAGCAAGTCAACGTTTACAAACTTGTGTCCTACTCCAGGGCTTGGTCCATCTTTAATTCCTCCCAACGTAAACTTGTGTCCAACTCCAGGACTAGGTCCGTCCTTGATTCCACCAAGCGTAGTCTTGTCGGTGAACCCATGTCCGATGCCAGGACTTGGTCCATCCTTGATTCCACCAAGCGTAGCCTTGTCGGTGAACCCACGTCCGATGCTAGGACTTGGTCCTTCCTTGATTCCTCCAAGCGTAGCCTTGTCGGTGAACCCATGTCCGACTCCAGGACTTGGTCCGTCTTTGATAGCACCCAAAGAAAAACGGTTGAAAAATACATCATTATAGTCAGAGCAGCTAATGGTATTCAAAATATCCAATGGCCGAGCAGTTGTTATAAAGAATGAACCAAGAAAAACGAAAAGGGTTATGAGGAATTCGAACTTGAGAATTCTTGGCATCTTGAAGATGTTTGTATGAAGAGAGGGTAGTTATGAAGTTTCTTGTTGTGGTTTATGTGTAAAACTAAAAGGTTTTGGTTCATATTTATAGACAAAAAAGGGGAAGAAATTTGGATATTATTTAATTAATAAATATAGTAATAGTATGGACTTGTGACATGGGAGTCTAAATTGGAATCAAGTGGTGGCAAAACCCTTTTTTTCAATGGGAATTGTGATTCGGTTTATATATATATATATATATATATATATATATATATATATATAGATTTGGGATCATGTGAGACCAGCCTATTTTCGTAAGACCCGTGAGACCAGCATTTTACACTTGAAACTTCACAGCAAAAATGCTGTGAAGGTGACTTTTTAAAATCTTCACAGTGTTTTTGCTGTGAAGGTTCGACTTTTTAAAACCTTCACAGTGTTTTTGCTGTGAAGTTTACGTGTAAAAATGTGGTCTCACGGGTCTCACGAAAACAGGTTGGTCTCACGTGAACCCAACCCTATATATATATATATAGAGAGAGAGAGAGAGAGAGAGAGAGAGAGGTTGGTTATTATACAACCTTTGGCATTTGTGTAACCAATACAACCCAATCTCGACTGTCCATTTCATTTGATTAATATATGCTTTTATAAAACTTTTGATTGTTTTCTAATATAAAATATTGATCATAATTAATGAACCATATTCATCTTCCATAAATATTCAAATCATAATAAATGAACTCTCATCATTTACATAAATATATCAATTTATTGGGTTGTACAAATGCGATGGGTTGTATTTGAAACAAACTCTCTCTCTCTCTATATATATATATATATAATTTGGATTGAAATCACATATTTGACTAAAAAAATTCTAATAAAAATTTGTATATTACAATCTTTATCATTATTTTATAATAAATAAAATTAATTAATTTAAAGCAAAACTATGTAAGAGCTTCTTTGTTTTTTCAAAATTACACCTCATAATACCTCTAAAGTCTAATTCGTTCAGACGTTTGGATATTAAGAGTGTTTGTTTTTTTTAAATAAGAGTTTAAAAACTCTAAATGCCTTTTGAAACTTTAAATGGTAAATGTTACCCTTAATACCTTTTAATCTTAATTCGTTCTTTATCACATGATTCATATTTTGGGGGCTGAATGGGATTTGTTAGCAAAAATATTCATCTTTTATACTTTTATAAAAAAGCTATTTGTCTTTTATATTTTTGCACTAGTTTGACTAATTCAGACTTCAGACGTAAAAACAAACAATCTTACTGATCCAGATTTCAGACTTCAGAAGTAACTCTTATAAATCAAAAGTAAAATCAGACTTCAGACTTCAACACCTCTTAAAAAAAATTATTGAATATTCGACCAATAAAACATTAAATTAAAATTACGTTTTATTGCGACAAAGTATGAAAGGAAGTGTAATTACTTCCTTTAAATACATACACCAATAATCAACTTTTAATCAACTTTTTAAATACAAAATATGTCATTCGTATAAATCAATTATTTAAATATTTATAAAAATGATGAGATTTATTTATTACAACTTGTATTTATAAAAGATGATTATAATTCATTAATTAAGATCAACATTTTATATTTAAAAAATCAAGATATTTATAAAATCATATATTTATTAGATTAGAAAGACAATTATAATATAATTGTATGAATGTTATGATTTGTTATTATATGTATTTAATATTATAGTGGAGACTTCGGATCACATGGGACCAGTTTGTTTTCGTGAGACCATTTTTTTACACTTGAACTTTCAAGTAAAATCCTGAAGACTACCTTCACAGTGTTTTTGCTGTGAATACTCGGAATTTTTTTTCGTTCACAATATTTTGATATAAAATTTCAAGTATAAAAATGTAATTTTACGGCTCTTACAAGATAGTTGTCGGGTCCAAATGTTTCTGTGTAACATGTAGACATACATGTTTACATATATACACACGTGTATATATAGAATGATGACCATGACCATGACCCATGCAATCTTTGAACAGTGGCTTTTCCACAGTTGGTGGCTCACTGGTTTTTGTTTGACTTTTCAACCTCTTAACATTGGAACCATCGAAGAACCAGAGTGTTTGACCATCTTTGTTTTTTTATTGAAACTTTTAATGGTTTGAGATTAGGTTTTCTTTAAACAATTAACGACCCAAAATTGTGGATTTTATATTAAAGTCAAGGGTTAGCATTCAGGGTGCTTAAAAACTCGATCAATCTGATCAATTCAACTTAACTCAACGTGAAATAACTCAATCTGGAGCAATCAGATTTTTAGTCGAGTTGTAAAAAGTCAAACCGTAGGTATTAGATTGATATTTGTTTATTGTTATTTGAACCCAACTCAACCCGATGAACCCGATATCATTTTATTTATTGGATTTAATATGATTGTTGAATTTCTATTAATATATACATTAGACAATTACACTATCATCTATGCTCTTCATATACACATATTTTCAATCTATACACATCTTTATATAACTCATTCGTATATATGTTCAGTAACTGTGAACATATATATGTAAATTGAGAAAATTAATTGAATATGATATATAGTATGAATAAGTTATATCAAATGGTTGATGATGAAAAAGAAATTATGAGTAGAGAAATAACATATTCAAAGTTAGAAAAAATATTTTAATATATCAAAGTATCAACCCGACTAACCGACTAACCCTATCAACCCGTACGGGTTGGGTTAGGTTGGGTTGCACTTTGGTTTGAGTTAGGTTGAGTTAAGATTTTTCAAACCGTAAGCATTGATTGGGTTGTTCAAATGTCTTCAACCCAACCCATAAACACCCCTAGTTATCATTATATCTACTCTGGGATTTTGTGTTCGTCTAGTCTTTTCTTAACATTTTAGAACTATACAGTTGAGCCATTATGGACTTGAAGTAGAGACCTCGTTCGTGAAGTAAATCATCGCACCTACGGTTCAACCAATTGGGAGAGAATCATGTTATTTTGTTCAAGGCTCTTTTGAAGAGTAATATGAAAGTTTTACGCAGGGCTCTCTTGACTTTAGCTTAATCTTTTCTTTTTACCTTTCACAAATAACCTGATTCTATGCTTAAAGAACCCATTCAACTTTTACAAGATCCTACACATTTGATTTTTTTTCTACCGAAAAACCAAAAAAAATAAATTCATATCAATATCTGATATATTGCTTTGTTAAAATCCATTTCCATATAAAGCATTTTAGTTCTTCGGTATGGCTTTATTATTATATATATGTGTATATATATATATATATATATATATGTGTGTGTGTGTATATATATATATATATATATATATGTGTATGTGTGTGTCTCTCTCTCTATATATATATATATAATAAAGCCATACCGAATTTTGATTTTTAGAGCCAAACTCAAACCAATCAGACACCACTCTTGTGGTTAACACTTCATTAAACTTAATTATAAGCAACAGAAGACCCTTCTGATATTTAACAACCGATACATAACAAAGATATCATCCTCACTTTGACATCTACCGACACTTAAAAACCGGTCTTTGATGTCATAAGATAACAACATAAGCATATCGAACCAACCAATAGATATGAGTCATATGACGTTAAATGAGCAAAAAACGACTACTCGTATAAAAAAAACTTCCTTCAAACGCCATCTTCGACAAAAATAGTTTAGTGGCCACGGCCACGATGACTTGGACCAGAGTAAGCTCTTCTCCGTATCAATCCAATTTCCAACGACAATCCCGAACCCCCAACTCCAACACCACGATCATGATGGTCGTCAACAAACGGTCTATAGCCTTCAACCACAGCCGTTAGAAACATGAAGTACACGAGAAACACGAGTACCGTGAAATGAGATCGAAACAAAGGTGACATTTTTTCCTTCTACTATAATCTTATCTATCGTAATTAGAGTTTTAATGAAGGTACCAACTGTGGGTTTTATATGTGAATTCAACAAGAACAAATTGGATGAAATGTTGGAGGCTGTCGGAAATTAAGAAACAAACCGGGTGCCGGTTTTTAAGAATGTTTTGTCCGGTCCTTGGAAAAAAAAACCCGGATTAAACAAGAAATGCGTTCTTTCGGAGTTTGACCCACCGGTCAAAATTCTCTGCCCCATTTCATATGGGTGTTAAAAAAATCACATTCTAAATAAATCCAAAATTGAGGGGTGTTTGGGATTGCTTATAAAAATAACTTATTAACTTATTCAAGTGTGACAACGGTAATAAACATTTTTGAGTGTTTGAATAAACAACTTATACCGGTGCCAAACCGGTAATAAGGAGTTTTTGAAGAAGTTAAATCATTCTGACTTATAATAAGTTGATAAGTGCTTTTGTAGAAAAGCATAAGTCGTTTCAAATAAACAATCTCAAACACCCTCTGAATTCGAGTTCAAAAATTCAAATTTGAGTTTTGGTTTTACGTTCCATTTGGATTCAAGTTCGGGTTTTCGTATTTGGTTTCGGTTTCGTTTTTTTAATCGGATCGATTAAATTTGAGCGTTAGTTTGAAAATTGAATTTAAATAGAAAATTAAATACAAATTCGTTTCGGTTTTGAGAATTATAATGCAAATTCGGGTTTGGGTTTATAAAAAATTCAAACATAACTACTTGAATCAGTGAATCGAATAAACTGAAAACGGAATAAGTTGCGTGTTATTAAACTTGTGGTATTAAATGTTTTCAACATGTCTTTTGACTCAACAAGTTAAGTTAACAGTCAAAAAATGTCACCTCGTGATTGATATATGATTTTTTTTTTGATTAACCTGGATATCCAACTCGCTATGCGGGCCGACTAATCCCAGGACGACCACCTGCTTTGCAGATAGACTGGAGTCATCGCATTTGAATCTTCGTGGCCACAAGGGGATTTTTATTCCTCCTTATATTTGAACCTAAGACCTCCTAGTAAAACAATATTTACATAATGATAATAATGACACGTAAATTTAATTTGTTATCGTTCATTGCTTT